GCTGCAGTAGCAGCCCAAAGAATAGAGGAGGGGGACAATTTTTTAGAACACACACTGTAAAGAGGAACAAGATAATGACCATATTGGCTCCATCTAGTTCAGTATCCTTTCTTCTGACCATCACCATGTGCTTCAGAGGGAATGACCAGAATAGGGCAATTATCGTGTGATCCATTGCCTGTCCTCTACTCCCAGCTTCTGGCAGTCAGAGCTTAGGGACACCTGGAGCATGGGGTTAAACCCTTGACCATTTTGACTAGTAGCCATTCATGAGCCTGTTTTTCATGAATATACCTTATTCTTTAGTGAAACCCAGGTGTAATTTTGACTTCACAAAAGGTGTAATTTTGTCTCCTGTCTGACTCAAAGGCCATTAGGGTTGTCAGGAATCTTTCAGCTCTTTGTTACTATTGATTATTTGGTTTGTTCACAGAAAGCTTGCCTTGAACATATAGGAAAATGCCTATATCACTTAGCAGCAGTATACAACTTAAGTTGGTTTTTTTATAATGAATGGTCTGCTTTGTACTTGAGGAGGTAGGAGAAAATTGTACTCTAATTTGCTCTAAGATGGCAAGCACAGTGTATGGATATTCTGTTTCCATTATCTGAGTAAAGAGGCACACCTTAGGGTGTATATTTTGTTTATGGGCTGTGGTTTTGAAAGCAATTATATTACTGTAAATAGATGTAGAATAGAAAATGATTTCTAAAACATGTGTGGGGTGATTTGTCGCATATTCATTGTGCTCCAAAACATAACTGAAGCCATCAACTAACAGCTGATCTAATTAGAAATAATGATTTGAACAAAAAAAAGCTATTAGGATTATTTTACTCTGGGGAAGAATAGCTTAGCATCTGTTTTATTTCAGCATGAAATGTATATTTGGTGCATTAATTCTTTTGCACTGATGTGCTCGATATTACCTAGCTCTTCTCGTGCTTTTCATCAGTAAATCTCAAAACACTTTACCAAGGAGATACACATCACTACCCTTAGTTTGCAGATAAGGTGTGAAGTGGATTGCCCAAAGTCATCAAACAGGTGAGTGGCAGAGCTGGGATTAGAATCTAGATCTCCTAAATCCCAGACCGGTGCTCTGTCTGCTAAAATACATTTAAGTGCGGCTTTGTTTTGGCTTTTCTAGCTAACATCCCTTTTAATGGTAGAGTAATAGAATTAGCTGGCCAACTTTCCATCGTGCAAATTCCTTTTGTCAGTTCTATGTGCGTACATTTTATTCAATGAATAGTAGACTAGGCTTTTGGACAATATAATGCATTTGCTTGCTAGAGGTTGATATTAGGGGAAAACTGACTCATTTTTTATATATTATATATAAGGGCAATTAAAATGATTAGGGGTTTGGAATGGGCCCCATATGAGGAGAGATTCAAGAGACTAGGACTTTTCAACTTGGAAAAGGGCTGATATGATAGAGGTCTATAAAATCATGAGTGGTGTGGAGAAAGTGAATAAGGAAACGTTATTTACTTGTTTCAATAATATAAGAACGAGGGGCCACCAAATGAAATTAATGGGCAGCAGGTTTAAAACAAATAAAAGGAAGTTCTTCTTCACACAGCGCACAGTCAATCTATGGAACTCCTTGCCGGAGGAGGTTGTGAAGGCTAGGACTATAACAGGGTTTAAAAGAGTCCCTAGCCTCAGTTTATCAGAGGGTGGAGATGGATGGTAGGCGTAAGATGGATTGATCATTACCTGTTCGGTTCACTCCCTCTGGGGCACCTGGTATTGGCCACCGTCAGCAGACAGGATGCTGGGCTGGATGGATTTTTGGTCTGACCTAGTATGGCCATTCTTATGTTCTTATACTAAAACTTTATGAAGGAAAAGTTTTCTATTCATGTCTTTTTAAAACAGTTTCAGAGTGGTAGCCAGGTTAGTCTGTTTCTGCTGAAACAAGGAGTCCAGTGGCACTTTAAAGACTAACAAATGTACAAGGGCATAAACTTTCATGAGATACAACTCACTTCCTCAGAGGCTTGAAGAGAAAAGAAAAAAGGAAGGGATACTGAGATGGGAGTGTGACATTAGTGCTGATTACATCAGAGTGGATGTAGCTCACCTCCAACAGTGATGAGAAGGTGAGAATACCTGAAGGGTATCTGTTTAAACATCTTTTGGTGGTGTCAAATTTGCATATACATTCCAGCTCAGCAGTTTCTTGTTGCAGTCTGTTTTTAAAGTTTTGCTCTTGCCTGAGAATGGAAACTTGCAAGTCAGTAACTGTGTGTCCAGGGAGGTTAAAGTGCTCTCCCACTGAATTTTTTTATATGCTACCCTTCATGATGTCTGATTTGTTCCATTTATTCTTTTGTGTAGAGACAGGTTTGTCCGATGCACATGGCAGAGGGGCATTGCTGACCCATAACTGCTTACATTATGTTAGTAGATGTGTAGGTGCGGAGATCCTGGTGCGGAGCATTTGATGGAATGAGCATTTGATGGTATAGCTAATGTAATTAGATCCCGTATGGTGTCACTAGGGTAGATGTGTGGCAGTGGGGTTTGTTGCAGGGATTGGTTCCTGGATTAGTGTTTCTGTTGTGGGCTGTGAAGTTGGTGGTTGTCTTAGGTTGCAAGCTGGGCATCTGGTCACTGTCGGAGACTTCCTTCCATGGGTGTTTGTGCCTTGCCGTAGGAGCCTACTTACTCTTTGGAAAGGGTTACCCACTTTCACATCTGTGCTTAATATTTTATAGGTGTGCTTAATGCTGCTTCTTCTGCATGCTCTCTTGACTTTGAGTGAACATGTAAGTCTGTTAAATACACTTAAATATTTTTTGCAATCTTTTCTGCAATATGGCTGGAAAATTGACAGACCAGGAAATGGAAGCTCTTCCTCCATAGGTGACATATAATATACTCAGAAAACCTGAGTTCATACAATCTACAACAGGAGGGAGCAAGATATAGCCCATAGGCTGGATCTAGCCCACTAAGCCTTTAAATCTGTCCCACGCTGACAGGATCCTTGATCACCATGTGGCTCTCTGCACTGAGGATGGGGGAAGGCTTTGCACACAGCCCCTGCCCCTAGCACAATCTCTTAGCTCCCATTGGCCTGTTTCTGGCCAATAGGAGCTGGGAGATTGAGCTGGGGCTGGGGGCAGTGTGTGAAGCTTCTCTCCCCCCCCCCCCCTAGCTCATTTGGTGCCTGAGGCAAGACCGTCCTTGGCGTGGGATGGGGTGCTGATGTGGCCACAAGGCACGAGCAAAGACAGCGTAGTAGCTGTCTTTTCTGCGCCCCCTCAGCTATGCGCCCAAGGCAAGTGCCTCACTCTCTTCACCCTTGTTACGGCCCTGGTGTGCAATGAAGAAAACCATATGGAACAGCCAGCTGCTTTGAGTGATCTGGGGATGCTGGCAGGCTGGGAGCTTGTTTGAGGATCTCTCTGGACTGCTGGCTGGGAGCCACATATGTAAGGCACGTCCTAGCCACAGCCTGCTTTTGGCACCCCACCGCCTCCCACACCCCAACTCCCTGCCAACCAAACCAAACCCCTCTGCAGCCCTCCGCCCCAGGTCACAACTCCCTTCCAGACCCTGCACCCACTCCTACAGGCCTTCCCCAGGCCAGAATCCTCTCTTGCACCCATACCTTCTCCTGGGTCCTTCACCCCAAACTGCTGCTCCAGGACACAACTTCTTCCTTCATCTAAACTCTCATATTTCACACCTTCGCCTGTACCTTAGTCCCCTGCCCCAAGCTTCCTTTTGTACCAAACCTCCGTCCCAGACCCCACACATCCCCTCCATAGAAAAGTTGACCACTTACCAAATTCTTGGAGTGCCCTCCCCTCAAAAATTATTGCCCAACCCTGATCTACAACTTTCTAAACTTCACCTAGGGTCAGAGATACCATGCACAGATTACAGTACCTAAGGTACTGGGTCATGACCAGATTGCTGTTTTAACTGCATTGATTAGTGTGGTGGAAATTGACATTCCAGATTGGTTAGACTGATTTAACTTACCCCATATTAATTTTACTGTGGTCTATATTAGTCACTGTCTGCTCCAGGTAATGAAAGGCTGCCAGATGGAAGATGGTTGACCACTGTGTTTCCTACCCTTTGTTTAGTTAAATTATTTTGTATTAAACATGAGGGATGGCTACATTTATAAATTCACTGTCGGGTTTCGCTGATACATGTTTAAGGGGATTATTTATGCAGTAGGATTTAATATCTGCCAACATGCTGCTCATTTGCTTGATATCACTAGAGACCAGTTCTTTTATTTGCAATTTATAAATCCTCATCTTCAAACGCTCAGCTTTTCACAGAGAGCTGAATGTTTGAAACATCCTGCAATTACCATATGCTTAATGCCATGAATTTTATCTCAAATGGACGGTGACAGTGTTGATATAATCAACATTATATGCCTTTTATATATTATAGGCCCACTTTTTTTTTCAATTCTCTATTTAAATAAAATCACCAAAGCTACCCCAGTGGTTTGACCAAGAGTGACCTTGGACCTCCTCTACCTGATATTGGATGTGGTTATTGAATTTTATCTCTTATTCTCTCTGTTAACCAGTTTATGGATTTGGATTTTCAGTGTCCTTAGAGTTGAGGTACTGCAGTGGCTGTAGAATTAAGGGTGAATGAGACACACATGCTTGGTCTCTATAGAATAATAGCAGTTAGAAAGGAGAAAGTACTGTTAGTTTTTTTGTATAATGAGCCCTCAAACCCTAATACATTGTCAGCACCAATAGCACTACAGCCTTCATCATCAAAGCCCTCAGCTACTTGAAATATGCAGTTAGAAGCAATAATGGGGGCTTATGCTCAGTGCACACAAGTTGCTGGCAGATGATGCAACATTATTTAGCCAGTATGTTTGCATTGCATTTACAGGTGTAGTACCTTCTAGAGTGCTCTGATATATTAGTTGTTATTCTTCAATGTTACAGATACAACAGCTGGTGTTGATACCTTAATTTTTTTTCTTTGACAGAGGTATCCTCTACTCAGCTGCTTTCTATCAGTTTTTACTGAAGTTGGAATTGCTGGTTCCAGGGAGGAGTTCTTCAAGACTTCCTATGAAGTAAGTGATAACCTTTTTCTAATGCAGGGTGCCTGAACCATTAAAATCAAAAGTAGAAGATGAAATCAAAACTTGAGTCTCCTGTGTGAGAGGCACTTTCTGAGCTAGTAAAATCTTTGTTGTTTTTCGAGGGACACCACCTGTCCTTTTACATTATTTTATTTGCACTCCACTGCAGTGCTCAGACTCCAGGGTAATGGGAAACACAGAAATGCTTAAGGCTAAGATCTTGTTAATAGTTAGACCTTCTTAGAAATTCGAAAATAGCATTTTGCCCATTGCCTTTTTGTCCTATTCTCTTGGGTAAGTTCTGCAGTACGCTGTGTTTCACATGCTCCTGAGGTACTCGCAATTGCTGCTCGGGTCTGAATTCGGTTAGTTTGTAATCAAATGACCATATTTGATCATTCTGTGCTTGGGTGCTGTGGACTGCCAAAAACACAAGCCAGGAATGTCACACAATCCTGATTATTTTTTATAAGACCACAACGGTCTGTGGTTTTTGCTGTGCTTAGTTTTCTTCAGGCTATGAACGGCTGATGAAAGCTGCAGTTTCTGTTTTCAAGCTTAATGTCAGTTCCTTTGCTATTAAATCCGGATTCTAGTATATGTTATAACTTGCAACATATTACCATTTCAAAGCATGTAGAATTGTAATTTCCTAAGAATATCCATATTTTATAGTACTACCCCTTTTGTCTCATTGCCATGTTCTCTCTATCTTGTGTGAGGTTGGAAAGCTGTGAACATACCAGAATAGTGCCACTCTGCATGGGTTCTAGGAAGAGGAGAGCAGGTGATTGTCATTCCTTGAATGCCATGCTAGTGTCCTTCTGCACTATAGAATTATAGAATAATAGGACTGGAAGGGACCTCAAGAGGTCATCGAGTCCAGCCCCCCGCCCTCAAGGCAGGACCAAGCTCCGTCTACACAGAGTGCTGGAAGCAGGACCAGCAGATTACACAGGTCTCTGTTGTGTAAAGATTACAAGTTGATGCTGTCCACCTAACATGCAGCTTGGAAGTATCTTCGGTTTTAGTGTAGGACGTCTCACTGAATTCACCCTGTCTGGGATTATTCAGTTTTGCTTAGGGTTGCCAGGTGTCCGGTATTGATCCAGATAGTCTGGTATTTTCAGCTCCTGTCCGGTAAAAAAAAATAATCAGAAAATACCGGACACCTAAAATGTCCCGTGTTTTCTGATTTTTTTTCCCCCTTCCAGGAGGCAAAAATACCGGACACCTGGCAACCCTACAACACACTCAGCAACCAGCCCCAGACCCCCTGCCAGACCTCCCTTGACGCCTCCCCACCCCCTGCTTACCTGGTTCCGCAGGAGCTTGTCTTGTGGCTGGAGCAGAAAAATAAGATTGCCTCTGGCAAAAAAAACCTCTTCTTAAAGGGGCATGCTGATTTATTTATTTATTTGTTTGTTGCTTAATTACTGCTCTTGGGGTCCTTTCACACCCTCCCCCCTTTTTACTCAACAACTTTGATTTCCCTGCTTTTTTTTCTCAACAGAATTTTTTTCCCGGTGTTTTTTATTTTGGTGGGGGAGGGGAAGTGTTTGGTATTTTTGGTTAAGCCATCTAGCAACCCTAGTTTTGCTTCATAATCTGAAAGCTTGGAACTAGAACTTTTCATAAAACATCTTGTACTATATAGAGGGGTACCCTCAGGCATTAATATTTCATCCTTGATTGTAGCTAGTAGTTAATTTAATTTTTCAGTGAGAAACAAGAGGCTATATTATTGATTTGATTATTATCAACCTTGCATCGTGTTCATGGCTATAATGAAGAGGAGATATAAATATATTGCCGTTTCACTGTTTTTGATGTTGGTAAAGTTTTCAGTTATATTCCTTTCTTTATGGGAAACAAATTAACACCATAATAGTAACACTTAAATTTAACTTTTATGGGTGGCAAAGGTATTTACATAATTTCAAAGTTTGGTAACAGCAAATAAAAACTCTCAAGAGTTGGTTTTGCTGAAATCTGTCATAATCTTGTTAATATCTTTCGTACTCATCCTGATTTTAAATAACACAAGCCAAGCTTTCATTTTGGTTTTCTATATAAAGGTCAGGAAAGAGTATATAGCAGCCACAACCAGCAAGTGACTACTATAACCAAACTGAACACTTTCTCTAGGTTATGTAAAACCTGTATCAAATAAATATCTCTAATAATAATTATCTCCTGCCTCTTGGGAAAAAGCCTTCAGGATCGACCTGCTTAAAATGCTGAGAAATTTTAATAATCATCCCTATATGCAGTTATCACGTGTTTATTTCTGTTTCAAGTGGGTGGTTTCCTAAGGCCAGGCCACATGCTAGTTAAAAATATGGGAGGGGTGTGTGTTTGTACGTGTGTGTGTAGGGCAAAGAGTTGCACCTGAGCAAATGGCTACTCTGTTCTCATGCTGCGCACTACCAGCTGCTTCAGTTACGTCTCTCCAAGTACTCCTGTAATTGAACTGGAGTTCAACACTTTCCAACAAAACAACTTCTGTGCACCAAAGGTTGGGCTTCTGTGTTGCCAATCTGAAATATTAAAAACACATGCGATTGCTAAAACAGTTTTGGGTTCCCTCCATTTGAATTCTGGTTTACAAGTGTTGCTTCCCTCCAGGTATCTGGATGCCTGTTTCCTGCCAAAAACCCCAAAGAGAACATGGATTCACGAACCAGGGAGAGACAGGCATTCAGCCACCTCTGTCACGTGGTCTGAAGGTGTCTCCCAGATCGGATGCACACATGACAGAGGTTCCTGCCAGCACCATCCTGTCCCCTTTGCACTGCTGCCTCTAATAGAATTTCTGTCAACTACGTGATTAGCTAATTACTCGCTTCCTAACATCCCTATCGGGATCCAGGGGGTTCCCTATCCTAGGTTAGTACTCTAACCACTGGACCACAGACTCCATTCTCATCTTTGCATGCTCTCTTTTTCTGTTTCCCCTTCTTCTGCCCAAATGACTTTTCAAGAACGTAACCTGAGAGCTGGTAGATGCAAGTTCAAATCCTCCTCAGGTGATGGGGACTTGACATGTGGGTCTCACTATGGTGAATACTCTAACTACCGTACTTAAAGTTAGGAGAGTGGTGATTGTCCTTCTGTCCCTCCCCCAGCCTCTTATCAAAATGGCATAGGGTAAAGAGTTCCCAGCTGTGAATCACTAGAAGATAGAGCAGTGATAGAAATGTAGCCGTGTTAGTCTGGTGTAGTGGAAGAAAATAGTCACAACCATATATACCAAAGGATACAATTAAAAAAAAAAAAGAACACATATGAAATGGACAAATCAAATTTCAGAACAGAAGGGGGATGCGGGGGGGGAGGTGATAATTGGGGAAGCTATCTTTGTAATGGGTAACATTCAACACTTTACGTGGGGGTCTTAACAAAGACTCTAGTTATCTCTCCCATTACAAAGATAGCTTCTCCAATTATCACCTCTAATCTCATTAGCTCACAGACATTTACCTTCCCCCTCCCCCCCGCATCCCTCTTCTGTTCTGAAATTTGATGTGTCCTTTTCATATGTGTTCATTTTTTTTAATTGTATCCTTTGGTATATATGGTTGTGACTACTTTCTTCCACTATTTGATCTGAGGAAGTGGGTCTGGCCCACGAAAGCTCATCATCTAATAAACCATCTTGTTAGTCTTTAAAGTGCTACATAGTCCTGTATTTTGCTAGAAGATAGAGGGTTCTCTCTGCAGACTGGATTTAAGTGAATCACGGTCAAAGTGTACGTCTACATAGCCAAAATCAGCAATACAGCAGTGAGTCTGACACTAGATTACCTGATTCAGATTAGGGATGTTAAATTTCATTTAATCAGCTAATTGAGTAGTCGATGGAATTTCCATCAACTACTCGATTAGTTGACAAGGGGGGAAACGGCAGAGCCGCAGCCGCCTGGCTATTACTACATTTAAAAGCAGAGCTGCAGTGTCTGGGACTGGGCACCAGCTGGGACAGCTGATTCCTGGTCTGTGCCTGGTCCTTCGCTGAGCCTCTGCTCCTCCTTGTGCACATGGTGCTAGGGGGAACCAGCTTTTAAGCCAGCTCCCAGCTCCTGCTCCCCCGTTGCTGCCTCTGATAGAAGCAGCAAGGGGGGAAGCGACTAGTCGAGTATTCATTTGACTAACCGCTTCCATCCCTAATTCAGATTCGTAGAGATCTCATAGTGGTGACTTACCGGGGAGGGACACAAGAAAGGGCACCACCCACCATATAACTCTTCCCCATGCCGCCCCTGCTCCATCTCTTCCGCCAAGCCTCCTCCCCCAAGTGATGCTGCCTGAGGAAGTAGTGAGGTGCACTCACTGGCGTGTAGAGACGCAGCCCCAGTCTGCTTTCTCCTTGGCTCCCAGTCACATGACTCTGCTCTCTTCTGCCTGTGAGTGTGGGGGGAGTTCCACCCTTTCCCCCACAGCCCTACCCCAGCGATGCGGCTGGGAGCCAGCAGAGCTGTGCGAGCTGGGCCTGGGCCACTCTGCTTCCTGCCGCCAGTGAGTGCGGGGTGGCATTGAGCTACAAAGCCCCCGCTTCTCCCCAGGGTGTAGCGCCCGGGGGAAGAGTTGGACCTGCACTCTCCTACCCCGCACTAACCAGCCACAGGTAGCGGAGAGATGGGGGTGGAGCAGGCTGGGGTTGGGTCTTTGCTTCCCACTGTTGATGGTGTTTGCAGGGGGTGCCAGGATCATATCTCCCAAAGTGTGGGGCTTGAGTGGGGGAGGGGTTGGACAAACCATCCATAGGACAGGACAGCTCTGTCTACCAGCTGCTGGCCTCTTGCTCTGCCCCCTTAAGTGGTTTGTGGGGGCGTTTCTCTCTCTCTCTGCCCCTGAGCTCATGCTACAGGGCTAAAACAGCTGAGTAGACATTTGGACTTGGGCTTCAGTCTAGGGGTATGTCTAGACTACATGCCTCTGTTGCCAGAGGCATTGAGTCTAGATGTACCCTAGGTTCTGAGTCCTGGCAT